GCACGAGTTCGATTCCTGCCTGCCCCGGAGGTGACCACATGGCGTGGCAGACCTCTCCTGGCCCGCCCGCTGCTCCCCTCAGCAGTGTACTTCATAGAACTGCCTGTTCTGCTCCCCACTCTGTCTCTGGTGAAGCCTTTCATGGCCCCTGAGCCTCTGGCCTGTACCCCAGTTCTGTATGCACAAATAAATAAATCTTTTTAAAAAATTAAACAAATGAAGAGCCTTGAATAATCTGTGACACAGTGTACAGTGCCTTTACATTTGGGAAATGTAAATCTGTTAAGATCAAAGAAATATACAAGTTCCCCTTTAAGGTAGTAGGAGGGACTGAAGTATAGACTCAAAGATAAAGATAATTCTGCTAGAAAGATTACTTTCAAGAATATCAGGGCGATTACTAATTAAAATCTACTTGATCAATGACATTTTTATAAGAACTGAATTTTTCTGGTAACAACTTTATTAAGATATATATAATACACCCATTTCATGTGTATAATTCAATGAGTGCTAGAATATTTACAAATATGTCACCATCACCAATATCTAATTTTGGAACATTTTCATCACCCTAGAAAGACTCAAGTCTATTAGCAGTCACTCCTAATTTTCTCCTAATTCTCTCCCATTAGCCCTAGTCTAGTGTACATTGTGTTTTTTTAATGGAAATCTCTACTATGGACTTCTTATATAATGGAATTTAACATTATGTGGTCTTTTGTGATTGGCTTATATTAGCATAATGTTTTCAAGGTTCACCTGTGTGGTAGCATTTAATAGGGCTTCACTACTTTTGGCTGTTGAGTAAATGTGAATGTATCACATTTTATCAGTTGATTGACCCTTGGTCTGTTTCTACTTTCTTTTTTTTTAACTATAAATAAATATATTACTGTAAGTGGTTTCTACTATAAATAATGTATTTATGAACATTTATATGTACAGGTTTTTTTGTGAATACATATTTTCAATTCCTTGGATATATAACTAACAAGGGGCTATTTTGATGATTGCCTTGATAGAGAAAAATTGCAAACAACTGCAATCTGAGCAATCTTTTAAAATTTCAGCTTGGATATTTTTATTTCAGTTAATTTACTAATTTACAGTTACAATTAATCTAACTGTTCTGTCACTGTTTTCCTACAAGTTACTGGGCAATAAACTCCTGAAATGCTATCATTTCTCAAGTGCTCCGGTGAGATAATAATCTCACCTTGGGTATTAGTAATACTCAGTGCTCTTCTAGTTAACTTAGTTTTCTTTATTTAATTACAGAAAGGCACTGCTGAGTTAAAATTTACTTAACTTTTACCTTTTACTGTAAAATATCTGTTCTGATTTTCTAAAACTAATATTTGGGACTTATACTTGATGAAACATATGTATGGGAAGAGTTAATAATTTAAGTTCTAACAATTTATCTTAAGGAAACAAAAACACTCTACAATTCAATTTGATTTTTATGAGTCTTCCTTGTAATGTTTGCTTCTAAAAATGAAGTGTTGGGCCCTCCCTGGTGGCGCAGCGGGTTAAAGCACAGCACTGAGAATCTAAAGCCACTTCTGCATGAGTTCGATTCCCGCCTGCCCGGGAGGTGACCACATGGTGTGGCAGACCTCTCCTGACCCACCCGCTGCTCCCCTCAGCAGTGTACTTCGTCGATCTGCCTGTTCTGCTCCCCACTCTGTCTCTGGTGAAGCCTCTCACCGCCCCTGAGCCTCTGGCCTGTACCCCAGTTCTGTATGCACAAATAAATAAATACATCTTAAAAAAAAAAAAAAATGAAGTGTTGATATATAGTTTAAAAAAAGTTAGCATGGAGTTTCAAAATGACTAATGGTAAAACTTAACTTCTAAGAATCTATTTTACAGACTTTAAAATGAAAATGTTGTTTTGTGATTTCTGCAGATTGTTCCAAAGAATATCCATGGAATACAATGAAAATATTTAGAGAATACTATAAAACATTACTTGTCTATGGTTTCTAGAAAATTAGTGTATCACTATGTTCTAGTTTTACCTAATATTGTTCTATGTCACTGATAAAGACTCCAGAGATGCTTTTGTAGGAACAAATAGATAAATAACTTCTCTGTACTCTTTCATTTAATTCAGATCTGTATAATCTCTGCTAAATTCCCTGGCCTAATTAAAAATAAGTGAAATAAATGAAATTCTAGAAATCTGAAATAATTCTCCACATAAAAAATGACTATGACAGACTCTCAGATAGCATACCAATAAGTCAAGATAAAAGGGTAAGTTAAATCAGTTAAAAGGAAAATGAAACTCTGTTATAAAACTCAGATGCATAATACTTACCAGACAGCCAATATAGCACAGGGCATTTTCCAGTTTCTGCCTTTGGTGGCAAGTAGATCGCAAATTTCATTTTGCAGTTTAGTTCAACACTGTTTTTAGCAATGACCCAAAAAAAAAAAAAAAACCCACCTCATCAGTCAACAGAGAAATTTAAAATAAATGCTTTGATGTCCTAACCATTCTGAGCCTATATGACACATAGTTATTTTGGATAGAATTTTAAAAATATATGTATTCTCAATGATTACCAATATTAGTAAAGAAATATTTTTAGTTTCAAGAGAGAATTAGCAAGTTATAAATAAGCATTTGCAAAAAAGAATGAATTCTATAGATCTTAAAATACCATGCATGCTAAAGGGTACTGAGCTGCACTACAACCTTAATTTGGTCTTTGTCACTGATATTTTATTACAGTAACTAAAATCAAAAGCAGACAAAATGTTAGTAAAAAACGTAAGTATTTTTACCATGTAAATAGTAATTCATGTGACAATGACCTTTCATAGGCTTATTTAAGGAATCAATTGTATAGAAGCAAACCTTTACTATTTCACAATAAACAGCTTTTCATTAAAGTCACACAGGTACATATAATTTAAATACATTAAAAAATAGTATTTCCACAAATCTTGCTATGAAAAGCCAATTTACTACCATTCTATAACCCTTAATTTTGCCACTCTACAAATATAATCACTTCAACTCTTTTGACAGATTTGTCCAGTATTACCACCACACACATCTCTCACATGTCTTTTTGAATACTTCGTGATTTTCCAGTTTTAGATATGATCAACTGACTTTAATTATAAAAGCGTTTTGGGTAATTTTCACCTCCTCCACTTTGCTCCACATACAGTCCTATACTCTGGTTCCTCCATTCAATATTGAATCAATATGCAATTTTTTTTTTAGTTGGTAAATACTAAGAAATTACAAATGGTACTCAGCAATAAAGCATGTAGTACAGTAGGATTGCTTTCCTTTTTTTTTCAATTTTTATTTTCTTTTTATTACTTGATTTTCTTACTTTTTAGGTCCAGACTCCTTCAAAGTTCTTATTGACTCTAGTGAAAAATTCTTTGTATGGTCCCTTCCATTTTCTGCAAATATTTATTTTATCCTTTTATTTTAACATCTTTCATGTTGGTGACTGGAAGTTATAAAATATTGCTGATAACTGTTTTTGATCTTCAACTTTTGATAGGGGAGATCAGACATTTTACTTCATGATATACTTTTATCAGATCTATCTCCAAAGTAGGAGTATTTATATGTTAGCAATAAAATTTACCAAAAATATAATCCTGCTATAGGACAGTGGGCTATCTTAAGGTCTTGAAAGGATGTTCAAACAATTAGTATGATTAACAATTGCATAGAAGAAAGAAATGGCATTACAAAGTAATTTTCTGAAACTCTACCCTTACCATGTCAGTAAGATGTTCAGTTGTCAAAAGAACACAATCTCATGCATAATTATTTGCTACAGCTAGTCTGCACTAATTACTAATATATTACCAACTCTTCCATAGTATTGTAATTTTCCTTTCAAGAGTTAATTCTGCCAATATCTTAAAAAACAAACTCTTCAGATGACTGCTGTCCAATAAAATTTTCTGTGATGCTGGAAATATTTTGTATCTACACTGCTGGATACAACAACTTCTAGTCACATGTGACCACGAAGCACTTAAAATGTAGCTAATGCAGGCCCTCCCTGGTGGCGCAGCGGGTTAAAGCCCAGCACTGAGAATCTAAAGCCGCTTCCGCACGAGTTCGATTCCCACCTGCCCCGGAGGGGACCACATGGCGTGGCAGACCTCTCCTGACCCTCCCGCTGCTCCCCTCAGCAGTGTACTTCGTCAATCTGCCTGTTCTGCTCCCCGCTCTGTCTCTGGTGAAGCCTCTCACCACCCCTGAGCCTCTGGCCTGTACCCCAGTTCTGTATGCACAAATAAATAAATCTTTAAAAAAAAAAGTGGCTAGTGCAACTAAATTTTTAATTTTAATTAATTTAACTTAAAAAGCTAACTGCGACTATTGGCTACTATATCTCCAGACCTTTGACTTGTTGCTTTCCCGACTACTGTACAGCTGCTGCCTTAGTATGTCCACATTCATCCTGGAAATTCCTTCACTTATGATCCTGTTTCCCGAATCATATGTCCTCAGCTATGTTGCTTTAGTCCCTCATTTTGATGAAGCATACCATCCTGTTGCTTCCTGTGAAAGAGTTATGTGGGAATACACTTTTGAGACCTACCATATAAGAAAATGTCTTCATTCTACTTTTGCCTTACCTGATGACTTCAGAAGTCTTCCTTCAATATTGTGAGGCTATTACAGTATTGCTTTCTTGGCTCCTATTGCTATTAAGGTGATCTATGTCTTTCAAAATTCTTAAATCTTTTCCCCTTTCTCTGAATATAGATTTTCTTTTGGTTCCCAAAACTGTTAATACTTCACAGTGCAGTTGGTATTGGTCTATTTTTGTCCACTTAACTCTGAGCAACTTTTTCAACATGACAACTTAAAACCCTCAGTTCTATAAATTTGTCATGTCTTTATTCTTTATTTCTATACCACTATTTCTGATTTATTTTTCAAAACTAATATTTAATGTGAGACTTGTTTGCCTGGGTCTCTAATTTTTATCTTCTTCAATTTCCCTTATTTGTCTTATTCTACTTTCTAGAAAGTAGAACCATATCAACTAATTTTTCTATTGAGTTTTGACATTTCTACTATCAAATTTTACATGTCTGAGCTTATTTTTTTGTTTGTTCTTGAATATTTCTAACAGCAACATATTCTAATGTGAGGAACAGTATCTTCTCTTAGGGCTTTGACATTAACAGTAGTACTTTCAAAGTTTGTCTTGTAAATTAATAGTTATTCTCCAAATTTCTTTTCCTGTTTTTCTTCAAGGCCTCTGATTTTCAAATTAGAACTTTAAAAAATACCTAGCACTCTTTAGCTGTCTACTCCTAATTAAGAGAGAGAACACTAAAAGTATTATTGAAAGCACAGCACCTGTGACTTAAATACAGAATGGGGTCTGGAAGGACCATTCTTCTGAAAAATCTCAGTATCACCATCTTTAGATGTTTTGAGTTAGTCCAATTCTCCCAAGAAGACTATTTTTTGGGAATAAATCTAACTCACCAAATTTAGTAAGTTAAGTAGAGGTTAGGGTATCTACATTCCATAATCAATTCATCTGTAGTATTATCCCATTAGCCACCACCACTAATTGTGCCACTTATTCCACATATGGGCTCTATTTATGTTCTCTACACACTAACTGCCAATCATTTGCTAAAGTTGGGAAGAATCAGTGGCTTGGTTGCACAGAAAGCTAGGGAATTCTGTGGTCTCTCTAGTTCTTAAGACTTTCAAGTATACCTGGTGACTCAGATTCTAAAGTTTTAAGTAACTTATGTAACTTCTCATGTTGAAGTCTAGAATTTAGCTTTCTAGGTTCTGCCAAGCCAGGTACTACTTGAATACATCTGTATGCCTGCTTCTCAGAGTCCCTCTTCCTTCTCAGACTTTTGTGAAAATGTGTGTGTCTATTAGTCTCTTAATGCCTGTTTGGGGAAGCAGCAGAGGTAAGCATATATGCTCAATGGCCATCTTTATCAAGGAAGATATTTCCAGATTTTTTACTGCTAACACTGGCATTTCCACAACTTTTATGTCACACAGTCAAATAAAATAAAGCCAATTAAGTCTGATGAAATTATCAAACAGAAAACCACGGAGACAATAAGGAGGCTTAAAATGAAATGAGGTGCCGTAATACACAGGTAAAGATTCATTTAAAAATAGAAAAACATAGGCCCTCCCTGGTGGTGCAGCAGGTTAAGCACAGCACTAAGAAGCTAAAGCCAATTCAGCATGAGTTCGATTTCTACCCTGGAGGTGACCCAAATGGCATGGCAGACCTCTCTTGATCCACCCGCTGCTCCCCTCAGCAGTATACTTCATTAGTGGGCCTGTCCTGATCCCCACTCTGTCTCTGGTGAATCCTCTCACCACCCTTGCACCTCTGGCCTGTACCCCAGTTCTCTATGCATAAATAAATAAATCTTTTTTTTAAAAAAATAGAAAAAAAAATAATTAAACATGAGCAGTATTATAAATTCTGTCTTCTTAGTAGTTACCTGTCATGTTCAAAAACCTTCTGCAATCCTCCAAAGCACTTGTTGCTAGAAATCTGTTTCAGTGCCATTCTTCTCCTATTAGTAAAAATTAATCTCATTAATTTCTAGAGAATTTGTTACTAATAAATTTGAAACAACACTATTTTCAAATAAAGTGTCCAGTTTTTCACCTATAATTTTTTCACATTAATTTTCTTTGATAAATAATACTTTAAAATTGACTAACTTTAGTAGACATTTATACTCATTACTCAATTAGAAAACACCATTTTATTAACAAGCTCTTTTTTTTCTTTTAGAAAGAAGTAGAACATTAAAAGGTTACTGATTGCGTTTAAATAATTAAAAATGGTTACTGACTTACCTGTAATTTCTTACCAAAGAAATTGGGAAACAGGTAGGATTCACATGGTTAATTTTAAAATGGGAGGAAAATGATGTAACGATAATAATTTTGATAATAACAAGTTAACATTTACCACACCCTTAGTGTGTTAAGTATTTTACCATATACTAAAACAGAACAACTTACACATCCTAGGAATTTTTTTTAAAGAAAATGATATGCAACTTCTAAATGAGCATTTCTTATAAGCAAACCAACAAATAAAACATAAGGCTGCTATGAGTAAGTTAAGAGTAAATTTGTCATTGTTACATTTTCAAGTTTGATCATTATTTTTTCACCAAAAAATCTTCTAAATTTTCATACTAAAATAATTTTACACTTAAATGATAAAATATTACACATTAATTTTTAATACTAAAAACAGGAAAAGTTGGAAACCATGCTTATCATTGCAAAGAGGAACCAGACTGACTTTAATTTGTATCTTTCAAAAAGGATTATCTTCCCTTCCTTGTAGCAAATCAATAAACTCTACCAGCTAAATAAAAATATCCTCATGTAAGGAATAGATTATGCCTCTCTGAGGCCTTCTCAGTGAAATGTTCTACAAGTATATGTTGTTCAGTTGCAGTAGCAGAGTTATTCTTTTAAGTTATGTAATAATAATATTAAAGAGCTAATTTTGGAATATATTTGTAGAGTTATACTAAAGTTAGTTTCAATGCTATCTTTAAGTAATCTCAATAAATACAAACACTTAACTTTGTTTTGGAAAGTTGGGATTGGTGGTATTAATAAGTAATTAACTGTTAATAATTTTTGAATTTCTGACATATAATCATGTGAAAGTTTAATAATTAGCTTATCTTTATCTCTTCATCCCTTTTAGTAAGTCACTACCTGTTTATTTCTTACTTTTTGTATGTTCTTTCTCGAAAATCCAAAATCAATACTTTCCATTTGGCTGAAGAAATAGTTAAAATACTGTTTCTCAAACTAGTAGAATAAATTAAGAAAATCAAATCAAATCTTTTTGTTTTTACCCTAGCTGTCCATTTCAGAAACTGCCTTCAATTACAAAATCAAAAAGTGTCAGGTGCAATAAAAAAAATTTTCAATAAAAATTTTCCACATTAAAAGTAGCATTTTAAACCAACTTAACAATAATTCATTCAACTTTTAAGATTAACACATTTAAAATTAAAATTTAATTTACCTGTCCAATTGCTACCTGCTTTTTTGTCTACACCAAAGGGTAAATGATCCTGGAAAACAGAAAGACCAAATAGCTTATAAATGAAAAATACTTTTCATAACAAAGGTTATTTTGAAATGTACTATACATTCTCAACAGAGAAATTTTCTTGTCTTGCAGTAGGTGACTGTTTACCCTGGATAACAAGAAAAATATAACTGAGGGAATATCACTTCACCTTTCCCTCAGTCTATTACTATATTGTCACAAAGCCTTGTGTTTGGTCAAAAACTTCTGCTTAAGTAAGATTTCTATAAAAAAAAGTATTTTTTGTTGTTGTTGAAGAGTAACTTGAAGTATGAATTGGAGCGAGCTGCAGAATGTAAAGAAAACAGGAATGGGAGATAGCAGACAGTGAAGAAAACATGAATGGGAGATAGAAAAGTAGAGGAAGATGAAAAGCCTGAATCTGCCTTGCTCTGAGTAGCTTATCAGGAGGAAAGAATTGGGGCCTGGAAGGACTACTGGTTTGACTGGCTAGAATGGAAAAACTGACAAGGACACTGAGTATGTTTACAGGAAAGCTGAAGTGACACAGTAAAAAATAAATGGAAACTTACAAAGTTGTCATTTTAGAAATGTTAACCTAAATTCTAAAATAGATTTTCTAGGAGAAATGTAACAGAGGACAGAACAACAGAAAAATAAAAAAACCAAAACATTCCCCTTCTTAAGAAAATCCCGAAGTAGGGCCCTCCCTGGTGGCGCAATGGGTTAAAATAGTAGCCACTGCAGCACTAGTTGGATCCC